GAATGAATGTTTTTTTTTTTTTATATTATTATATGTCCCACATTGATTTCGTCCAGTTTACTGATGTTTCTGCCATATTTAAGGATTGTGGGTTTTTTTATTACTAACATTTTGTTTAGTTTCATGTAAATAATTTGTATTCATATTGTAAATACTCATTGGGGCTAGTTTTTAAATTGTTGTTTTATTCCCCATCCACAAACTCAGTGAATTGTACATATGGGGTATATTTAGGATTTTCATAGAAACAATGAGGTATTATGGTGGGTGATATTATTCGTCTCCAGTTGAGCTGGTCAAACTCTCTGCCTCCGGGCAGAGAGGATCCTCAGACGAGGCTATGTCGAAGGGCAGAATCTCGTCACGGAAAACTGATACCCGACCCCGTTTTATATGGGGTCTACGAGGAATTTTCAGCCGAGCCTATGTAGGTACTCCACATTAAATTTGTCTTTGTCCCACATCTGACCGCGTGGGGCTGTTGGTAGATATCCTCCAGTTGGAGATTCACTGTGGAATTCACTTCTAGCAATTGACTACTTCTACGCGCCGCTGGCGAATCTTATATGTGTTGTTCTTATCCTAATTATTATCGTTCATTATCATCCTTCGTGTCTTTATTCTATTCAGTAACCTTCCCTAAATTACAACAGTATCATCTCTTTTGATGTATTGACTTAAAATCACTAGCATCATTTTACATATATAAATTTTAAATACGCTGTGTGCGCATGTGTATTGTTTTATAAATTTTCATTTTATAAAATGACTTACCGTTTTCATTCTATAAAATATAAAATTTTCATTCATCATAGACAGTACAATTTATTTTTATATTATTTTCGTTTCTCTTATTCTGTAATAATCTGCCCGTCATCATATGGTATTGTGTATATTGTAGAGAAGTAAAGTGCCTTGCACAGACACAAAGGTAACATTTATAATATAAACGAAAAATCTTCTCAATGTTCTTGTTTGATGTGTGGCTATTGTAACAGATATCAGCGGAGAAAGTGGAATCTTTGAGCCGTGTTCAATTTCTGGGATATTCAGTTGAGTTCCCTTTATCAAAAATATTTTGGGAAAGGTATGAATCCGTCTCTTTTCCCAGCTATGGTTTAAATAGCCGTCTCTCTAACACTGAGTATTAATCAATCTAAAATGATGAAAACTCTGAATTCCAGTCCGTGGAGTGAGAGATGGGAAATTATTTCATTATATTACTTAAGAATGCATGGTAATTCAACAATAACAAATAAAATATCCCTATGGAGAGTCAAGATCAATCACGTCCTGAAAGGACATATCATTAAAAATATGTCCTCGTTGATGTATTCCAGCGTCGCTGTTACATTTATTCATCTGTGTTACTACGGTTTATTTACAAAAAAACACATTTACAATTTTCTTAATAAATAAAGGGTGTTTTATTAAGATGGATTATATATAAGGGTGTTTCATTAAGACGGATCAAAGTCAACAGTAAATAAATCATTGTTATTCGTTGAAATTTCTTTCTTTCTCTATTGGATCATTTTATTTAAGTCATGGCAATTATGTGTGAAAAATAATATCGCCCAAATGCCCGCCAAATCTGAAAGAAAAAGAAAAAAAATCATTAGACGCTTAAACTTAATTCACATTCTGTCTATATTTCTGATGTATTATGTACATTATTTACATTATTCGGACTATTGTCCTCATCTTTATCGCCATATTTATCACAACGTTTCGGCCGTTGTACGCTCCGGCCATCTTCAGATGGTTGGAATGTCAAACTGAACCCTTGAGGACACATGGCACAGTGGATAAAGGCGTTTGTTAGATCCAGTAACAGGACACAAAGAGTGTGAGTTCAATACCCGGTTAAGGCAGTGGAGAACTTTCAGAGGGAAATTAACAGGAAATAACTGATAACTGACATCCATCAAACATGGCACATGGAACTAGAACAGTGAGCGAAATAAATAATGTAAATAATGTTAATTCACATTTAAAATCTGTCCAAGTTATTGGTACATCTATATCTGGACTTGTATTATCAGTACTAGTATATTGATTATTAAAACTTTACCAACTATGTAATCAGAATAATACATGAAAATCATGTAAAATCTTTATGAAAAACAAGTAAGGAATCTTACTATATAACTTCCACCAGCAAATTTATGTGTTATTAAAGTCTAAAGAATATTGAGTTGATGGCAAATACAGGTTCCAACTTTAATGAATAATAATTAAAACTATGAGCATTTATTTGGAAGGTATTTGCACTTCCATTCATTTTTTAAATATAATTAATTCAATTTACCGCAACAGAGTGATTTTTGAATTACCTGATATATTTTACTTCAGCACAACACTTCATGAATATTAAAATTTCATTTTAGAACTTCAAAAATTCTTACAAATATAAGATTTATAAAAATTGCGTGTTGAGACTATATATATTAATTCTGAACAACCTTTCCTCTGGAAGCAGTATGAATTATTGCTGGGTTTAAATATAATATCTGTGACTTATATTGCTGATTATCTGGTAGTATTTTCTCCCCATTTTTGAGCGTTGTGCACATATATGTTTTTTCCTCGATTGAGCTCTGAAGAACGAAATATTTATTGACTTTTAGGAAAAGATGGCAATTGCCGTAATATTTTAATTAAGGTTTATGTTTAATAAAGAAAACTTGAAAAATACAGAAAAATCAGTTCTTTCATCTCATGGCTGTTTGAAATCAAAATCAGATATTCATGTTGTCTGAAAAGTGAAGATATGTTTATTTGATTTATTTTAATAATTCAACCATAATTTGATAGATTTCAGTCATATTTGCAGTCTGAGAATAGAAATAAGAAACTGATAATGAGAAGGTTATTCTGGAATTTGATCATTGTAGTCTCTTGTAATATTAGAGATTAATAAAGAAATCATAGCTTCTTGGATATTTAGTTAGTGGACATTGATCCCATTATTTGTAATGATTTAACTGTCTTTGAAAAAAAGCTTATATTAGATGCCTTCACGGCTTTGAAAATAAAATGTATTGCAATCATTTAAATATCTTTTTTGAAGATTTAATTGCAAGAAAGTAACATAGCGTTAGTATATGGAATGGCATAATAAAAAAAAGACAAAAGATTTTTTTTTAATTATGCACATGTATTTTTCTTTCTTTTTTAATTTCTCGGTCATGTCCTCCAATATCACTTTTGGTACGTCATTATTGATGAAAACCCGATTAACCTTACTAGCGTCTCATAAGATCTTTGGATAACAGAAAAATAACGAAACCTCTTTTCTTTGTACACACAAGCTCGTATGCTAAAACATTCCAGATGTAGCGAATACGCAATAAAAAAAAAAGATTACAATATTGTATTTAAATCTCCTGTTCATTGAATTTTGTTAAATTTTAAATCATTATTATTATTATTATTATTATTATTATTATTATTATTATTATTATTATTGTTATTATTATTATTATTATTATTATTATTATTATTATTTTTATTTTCTTTGATTTCTGGCGTTTACACATTTCTTTCCGGGTCCCAACCAGGGACCTAAGGTTAGAAATGGCGTCATGACACTTTCCACTGACAAAAAAAAAAAAAAAAAAATTTACAGATAAAGCCCTTCGTAAGGTGTGGGCTGTACTTGTCAGAACAATTTTTTGTATCTCCTTGAGGCATGGACTTCCAGGAATCCCTTCAATTAGTCTACTGCAACCTTTTCCAACCAGTCCTAGGGCTCCAACTACAAAAGGGATTGTTGATGTTCCCATATGCCACATTTTCGAGATTTCTATTTCAAGGTCCTTGTATTTTGACAACTTTTTGAATATCTTCAAAGATACATTGCAGTCAGCAGGGACTGCCATATCAATAAGGAGGCACCGTTTTTGTTTGTGATCTTTAATAACAATATCTCGGCGGCTGGCCTTGATTGTTCTGTCAGTGTGTATTGTGTAGTCCCATAGAATTGTAACAGGTCCTATCTCCGTAACCGGGTCTGGGTGGTGTTCATACCAGTTTCTTTCAGTTTCCTTCACGTAGAAGTTGCAGATTTTATTATTATTATTATTATTATTATTATTATTATTATTATTATTTAATAATAGCATTTCATAATTGGCCAATTAAAATAATGAATAACGAAATTAAAGATTTTATATTCAGATATACTTTTTATACTTATTTTAAGATCCAAGGCATGTTTTCTACATTTTGTTAGTTTCAAATAAAATTTCAACTGATTGAAGTTCTCGCACTTAAGTTCTCAGTCATTTGAACTTAACAAAATGACTTCCTGAAACTTTCATTTCAAAATTATCTTTTCATGAATAAATTTATCCATAAATAAATACAAACCGAATGTTTAATTGAAATTCAATATTTATGAATTTTGATAGATTTTAAAAATCTAGGCGATTTTTTCATGAAGATTTTCTTATAACATTTATTGCGTCCTATTATTTTATGCAGTTTAATCTACTTTTCAAAACCAAATATTTGCGAATCTGCAGCGGAGAAAGAAATACAATTCATGTCGGAATTTACACCAAATATTTTTTGACTTTTTAGTAAAAGATGGCAAATAAGACCTAGAATAGTAAAACATTGGTGTTATGTGCAAAATCCTAGTTGTTAAGTGAAACTTTGAACCAGGGAATTGAGAGAAACTTTGAACCAGAGAACTAAGAGAAACTTTGAACCAGAGAACAGAGAGACACTTTGAACCAGAGAACAGAGAGAGACTTTGAACCATAGAATTTTGAGAGGCTTTGAACCATAAAATTCTGAGAGGCTTGGAACCAGAGAATTGAGATAAACTTTGAACCTAAAAATTGAGAGAATCTGTGAACCAGAGAATTGAGTGAAACTTTGAAACAGAGAACTGAGATATACTTTGAACCAGAGAACTGAGGGAAACTTTGAAACAGAGAATTAAGAGAAACTTTGAACCAGAGAACTGAGAGAAACTTTGAACCAGAGAACTAAGAGAAACTTTGAGCCAGAGAACTGAGAGAAACTTTGAGCCAGAGAACTGAGGGAAACTTTGAGCCAGAGAACTGAGAGAAACTTTGAGCCAGAGAACTGAGGGAAAGAGAGAACACGAAGAACTGAAAACAACGAACTGAGAGAAAATTTGAACCAGAGAACTGAGAGAAACTTTGAACCAGAGAACTGAGGAAGAAACTGAGAGAAACTGTTTGTGAACTGAGAGAAACTTTGAACCAGAGAACTGAGAGAAAGAATGAACCAGAGAACTGAGAGAAACTTTTGAGCCAGAGAACTGAGAGAAAATTTGAACCAGAGAACTGAGAGAAAGAATTTGGACCAGAGAACTGAGAGAAACTTTGAGCCAGAGAACTGAGAGAAACTTTTTGAGCCAGAGAACTGAGGAAACTTTGAATAGAGAACTGAGAGAAACTTTGAGCCAGAGAACTGAGGGAAACTTTTTGAACAAGAGAACTGAGAGAAACTTTGAAATAGAGAACTGAGAGAAACTTTTGTGAACCAGAGAACTGAGAGAAAAGGAAAGAGAGAGAACTGAGATATAGAGAACCAGAGAGAACTGAGGGAAACTTTGAGACCAGAAATGAGAGAAGACTGAATGAGAACTGAGGAAAACTTGAGAAACTGAACTGAGAGAAACTTTGAACCAGAGAACTGAGAGGAGAAAACTGAACCAGAGAAACTTTGAAGGAAGAACTGAGAGAAACTTTGAGCCAGAGAACTGAGAGAAACTTTGAAAAAGAGAACTGAGAGGAGAGACTGAAAAGAGAGAAGAGGAAGAACTGAGAGAAACTTTGAGCCAGAGAAATGAAAGGAATGAGAGAAACTTGAAACAGAGAACTGAGAGAAACTTTGAGAAGAGAACTGAGAGAAATTGAATGAAGAGAACTGAGGGAAACTTTGAAACAAGAACTGAGAGAAAACTTGAACCAACTGAACTGAGAGAAAGATTGAACCAGAGAAATGAGGGAAAGACTTAAAACAGAGAACTGAGAGAAACTTTGAGCCAGAGAACTGAGAGAAACTGAGAGAGACTTGAACCAGAGAACTGAGAGAAAACTTTGAACCAGAGAACTGAGAGAAACTTTGAACCAGAGAACTAAGAGAAACTTTGAGCCAGAGAACTGAGGAAACTTGGAGAGAGAAAAACAACGAAGAACTGAGAGAAACTTTGAACCAGAGAAAAAGGAAGAACTGAGAGAAACTTTGAACCAGAGAACTGAATGAAACTTTGAGCCAGAGAACTGAGGGAAAGAGAAAACAACGAACTGAGAGAAACTTTGAACCAGAGAACTGAGAGAAACTTTGAACCAGAGAACTGAGAATGACTTTGAAATAGAGAACTGAGAGAAACTTTTGTGAGGTGAGAACTGAAAGGGAAACTGAGAACCAGAGAATGAGAGAGAAACTTTGAACCAGAGAACTGAGAGAAACTTTGAACCAGAGAACTAAGAGAAAGAGGAGAGCCAGAGAACTGAGAGAAAATTGGAAGAACCAGAGAACTGTTGAACCAGAGAGATTGAAAAAGGGAACCAGAGAACTGAGAGAAACTTTGAGCCAGAGAACTGAGGGAAACTTTAAAACAACGAACTGAAAGAGAAAGAGAGAGACTTTGAACCAGAGAACTGAGAGAAACTGAGAGAAACTTGAACCAGAGAACTGAGATTGAAACTTTAAAGACAACGAACTGAGAGAAACTTTGAACCAGAGAACTGAGAGAAACTTTGAACCAGAGTGAGAGAAACTGAAAGGGAAGAGAACCAGGAGAACTGAACTGAGAGAAACTTTGAACCAGAGAACTGAGAGAAAAACTTTGAACCAGAGAACTAAAACCAGAGAACTTTGAGAGGAGAGAACTGAGAGAAACTTTTGTGAGGTGAACTGAGAGAAACTTTGAAATGAGAGAACTGAGAGAAACTTTGAACCAGAGAACTAAGAGAAACTTTGAGCCAGAGAACTGAGGGAAACTTTGAAAACAACGAACTGAGAGAAACTTTGAACCAGAGAACTGAGAGAAACTTTTGAGCCAGAGAACTGAGAGAAAGGAAATGAGAACCAGAGAAACTGAGAGAAACTTTGAACCAGAGAACTGAGAGAAACTTTGAGCCAGAGAACTGAGAGAAACTTTGAGAGAAATTGAACAGAGAACTGAATGAAAGGAGCCAGAGAACTGAGAGAAACTTTGAGCCAGAGAACTGAGGGAAACTGTTTTCAGAGAAGATTGAATGAAAGGGAATGAGAAACAACGAACTGAAATAGGAAGAACTGAGAGAAACTGTATGTGAGAGAACTGAGAGAAAAAGGGAACCAGAGAACTGAGGGAAACTTTAAAACAACGAACTGAGAGAAACTTTGAACCAGAGAACTGAGAGAAACTTTGAACCAGAGTACTGAGAGAAACTTTGAGCCAGAGAACTGAGAGAAACTTTGAACCAGAGAACTGAGAGAAACTTTGAACCAGAGAACTAAGAGAAACTTTGAGCCAGAGAACTGAGAGAAACTTTGAGCCAGAGAACTGAGGGAAACTTTGAGCCAGAGAACTGAGAGAAACTTTGAGCCAGAGAACTGAGGGAAACTTTAAAACAACGAACTGAGAGAAACTTTGAACCAGAGAACTGAGAGAAACTTTGAACCAGAGAACTGAGGGAAACTTTAAAACAACGAACTGAGAGAAACTTTGAACCAGAGAACTGAGAGAAACTTTGAACCAGAGAACTGAGAGAAACTTTGAACCAGAGAACTGAGAGAAACTTTGAACCAGAGAACTAAGAGAAACTTTGAGCCAGAGAACTGAGGGAAACTTTAAAACAACGAACTGAGAGAAACTTTGAACCAGAGAACTGAGAGAAACTTTGAACCAGAGAACTAAGAGAAACTTTGAGCCAGAGAACCGAGGGAAACTTTAAAACAACGAACTGAGAGAAACTTTGAACCAGAGAACTGAGAGAAACTTTGAACCAGAGTACTGAGAGAAACTTTGAACCAGAGAACTGACAGAAAGTTTGATAAAAAAATCACATCCACCAGACATTGCCATGCTCTTTCGTCTAAGAACAATCATTTTCGCTTTTCGGTATAAATTGCCAAAGAATGGCCGCATTCTTCAAAGACTTTCGTTGTCATGTTTTTTCGTCTAAGAGGAAAATAAAAATAAAGCGAGAAAGTGACAGGGATTCTGGCACTTTGCGTTCATAAAATTGCATCTGCATTATCATCCAAATGGATAATCACAAAACAAGTTAAGCTTATACACGATATAATGAAATTCATTGTTTAGGCATAACCTAAATTATCTTAACAGCTAGTGATTTATCTTCAGTTGACTTCTTATTAACTTGAAGGTCATTTTAATATCAACCCTAGAAATCTTAGTAGTAAATATTGTTTATTGTTTTATATATATTCATCTGTCTACTTAGAGATGTGATGACAAAATTGTCGAAAAATTTATTCGAATTAATCATTTTAATGTACTTAAAATTACTAGCGTAAATATATAAATATATATAAATATACTTCTAAATATACAGAATTGTCTATGCGCATAAATATTTAATTTTGAATGCAAATAAATGAAATAATAGGATGTTTTGTTTAAAAAAGTTTTTTTTTTAAGAATATATAAGATGTTAAAAGTGCATCAGTAGAAACGTAATTAGATTATAACATGAGAAACTCTGTTTCAACCTACCTGAAGATACTAAAAAAAAACGAGTAAATTAATTAAAGAAACATTAAAAAACTTAATAATTTAACTTACAATGGGACTGGAATTTTCATTTTTCAAAATTCGAACAAAAATTATCGAAAGAACTATTGATAAGCTTGAAATTCCTACTTTATGACAAACGATGAAAAAATTAATAGCAATTTTACGAGTCTAACTGATAAATAAGAAATGTCACAGTATACATGTAGATACCTACAGTGAGTTTTAAGCAAGTAATGTATTTTTTTATATTTCGTAGGTATACATGTTTAGTAGACATCCCTGTTACTCATGTAGGCTAATTGAGCATTACTTTGCTCTGACGGTTTCATGTAGTGTCATGGGTCCTTACTTATAACTACAGAATGTACTCTTCCTAACACTATGTATACTACGCCTCTCAAGAGAGAGGGTCGAATCAAGCCGAGCTTCTCGGCCTGACGGTCGAACTCTCTGCCTCTGAGCGGAGAGGAACCCGGACGAGGCTCCACCGAAGGGCAGAGTCTCGTTTCGGGAGGTTGACCAACACGACCCCGTTTATACGGGTTCTACGGGCATTTTTTTTGGCCGAGCCTACGGGCTCGGGAAACCCACATTAAACTCGGCCTTGTGCTACATGCAACCCACGTGGTGGGGAGGTGGCTAGATACCGAATCCAGTCGAGCCGTTTCGACTTGACGGTCGAACTCTCTGCCTCTGAGCAGAGAGGAACCCGGACGAGGCTCCACCGAAGGGCAGAGTCTCATCCGGGGAGGTTGACCAACCCGATTTTGTTTTTACAGTTTCTACGGCATGTTTGGCCGAGCTTACGTGCTCGGAAACCCCATGTAAAACTCGGCCTTGTGCCACATCTTTCCATCGTGGGGGAGCAAGTAAATATCGAATCGATAGTAGTTCACTCCAAACCAGACTGACAGTCACACTAACACCTTCCACATCTTGTATTATTATTTCGTGTAATATACCTTCGTTATTTCTACTCTTATGTTCGTGTTGTTCTTCCTTGGTCTTAACCTGGACCATAACACGTAGCTTAATGGAAAAGGACACATGGCTGGAAATTTGTTTCTCAGTTTAAAAAGGAAACACGGGTTCTATTTCTTTATTCAAAATTAAAATCTCCAGACCGGTAGACATTTTGTTTTGAAAACAGGAATGTTTGGTGAATGTTGTTTTGCCACTAAATATAGGAATCGATTCCTATGCTTATCGACCAATCTCTTTAGCTTTTTTTTAATGATTTTTATTTGAAATATTTGATCTTTGAACGACATACTGTTAAAATGTAGAAATTCTACGTTGATCTTAAAAAAAATCCTGGCTTTATTTAAATCAACCATGCCCAAGAGGTCTAAACATTTGAGTCTGTCTTAAACCGGATGCAACAAGGAATCTACGATGTCTGCATGCATGTGTATTATTTCTTCTGGTTTTCCTGATTCTTCATATGCCACCAGAATATGGCAAGTGTCCAAAAGCATTTTAATTTCACTCGATGTATCAAAAGCAGGTTTGCTGTTAAATTATATCTTCTTCATTTTTTTTCTCCTCTCTAGTTTTTCCTTCATGCCCCCTCTTCTTTTTCATGTGGAACGTCATTTGCTCTCTCTCAAGACGCTGTTGTTGTCATTCGACTTTCCGGTCGTTTACTTGGCGAGACGTTCTTTTGCCGACAGTTTTTTCTCTTTTTCTTCTTCCTTAAACATCTTTTCAATTGGCCGAATGGCGAAGTGAGAAACAAAAAAACTTCATTCACAAGCAAGAACAATGTGCGGGGGTGATTTTGAACAGGGGGTGGTGGAAATTAATGGATTCTGGAGCGTCTGCGTATGGAAAAGGCTCATGGATAAAAAAAAAGGCTAACAAAATATGTGGACAGAATATCTAAGAGAAAATTAAATGAAATAAAAATCTAATGAAAAATTACATATAAAATAAAATACATTTTTTTTTTCAAGATTTAACAAAATGTCTTCGTTTTGCATAAAAGATTTTCCCGCCTTTGCGTGTAAATTGTATGTCTACATACATAGAGAATATACACTACGCAACACAGCGATTGTCGTATACTCTTCGACAAGATATTTACGCATATTCTTAAGTATAGATAGGCATATTGTGCCAAATTATGAACCAGAGAACTGAGAGAAACAATATCAGAAATATATCATCATAATACATACAGTTATGTTTTTGTTATATAAGAATAAAGTGTCGCTGCCGACACTTAAGTTTGAACATAAGATCGCCAGGCGATCCCATTACTGAATTAAGTGGATCACGTGACCATAGAGGAAACGCATATATAGGAATATATAGGACGTCTAGATTGATCTCCATTTCTATTCTATCCTCTATTACTATACGGATCACTAATTCTACTCTGTCCTCTGTTACTATACGGACTGCTATTCTCTACTCTGTTTGCTATACTATTTCTTTATTCAGATCACTATACGGCGGTTACTTTTCGAGCGAGTATTGTCGAGCAAGTACTATTAGTGCGAGTGCTATTCGAAGGCGTCTGAAACCAGTAATGTTCAACGGCGTTACTAGTTGTATCTGCGATTACAAAGTCTCTACTACAACGAGCATTACGAAATGAGTATTCGTTGACATCGACGAAGTGGCAACGCGTGTTCGTTGATATTACAAAAGTTTTAAAGGCTCAAATTATTCCAATGTACTTATAAAAATAGAATGATGAACTCTGTTATTATATAAAAAAAAAAACAATTGAACATTTGCTAAGGACAACAACATTTTGAACATTTTGAATGTGTTCAATGGGGACATTTTGAATGTGTTCAATGGGGGACATTTTGAACGTGTTCAATGGGGGACATTTTGAATGTGTTCAATGGGGGACATTTTGAACGTGTTCAATGTGGATATTTTGAATGTATTGAGACAATCTAAATGTGCACACCAAAAGCAAGATTAATCCCATATAAGTTAACATATACATTTACATAAATCTGTATCCATGAAAAAGGACGCACACATGCAATTATACACACACACACACACACACACACACACACACATATATATATATATATATATATATATATATATATATATATATATATATATATATATATATATATATATATATATATGTGCAAAAATACGACAGATAAATTGTCATCTAAATTACGCAAAAATGAAAATAACACTGACATCAGATTTTAACAGATATATTTACCTAAATTACACAAAAATATCTAAAACGTAAATTGATTCAATAAAATCCCCATTGGCTTCAGCCACGGTCTCCAGGCGACTTTGGAATCTCCTGCATCTCTTCTGGACGGTCTCCTTGTTTAAGCTGATGAATGCTTCCATAATCCTTGCCTTCGATTCATCTTTGGTCTTACAAGGAGCTTTTGGGTCTCTCATTCAACTTGTTATATAGTCCTCTCGTTCTGTGGGTTTATTTTGGTTTGATGGAGTTGTATCTTCTCTCGCTTGTCTTCTTTTGGTCGGGTGTCGAAATGTTTTGCCATAATCCTTGCCTTCAGTACATCTTTGGTGTTACAAGGAGTTTTGTTGGTATCTCGCTAAACTGCGCCCCATACATGATAATCAAGGGGCTCGCAGACTGGGGAGTTAGGTGGCCAGATGTAAGGGGTGTTGTGGTCGCAGAAATTGTCTGACAGCCATGATTAGATTCTCCTGCTTGTGTGGCATGGTGAAGAGTTCTGTTGCTAGACACAGTCTTACAGCATTCACCCTCTTGACCCAGAGCAGCACTACCTCCTCAAAACACTTGATGTAGGCCTTCGTGTTGAGTCTGAGGAGCTGTGGGAAGATGAATGGAGGCATAACGTCGCCATCATTTGTGATCACTCCAAACACCATGTTGACTGGATATATAATCCAACTTTTTCAGAATCCTCTACACTGTCCTCAAATTGACATCCAAGATCAGAAATTTTCGTATTGGAGCGTCCGGCGCGAATTCCAAGCAGTACAGTTTTCAAATTTCTGGAAGAGTGAATTGCGTCATAGTGCTCTTTTTCTCACAGACGCTGCCCAGTTTACCCTACTATATTGCGCTGTCGACAAAATAAAAAAAGAAACTAAGCGCATGCGCGAAATTAAAAATATAAAATGCAACAATTTACACATCGCTCCCTCCTATATATATAAATATAAAAGTGAATATGTGTGTGTGTGTGTGTGTGTGTGTGTGTGTGTGTGTGTGTGTGTGTGTGTATATATATATATATATATATATATATATATATATTTGTGTGTGTTTGTGTGGAGGAAGAGAAAAATTGTTGTTACAGAAAAAGAAAAGTAAAGAAAATGATTATTTGTAGATAGCGAACAACCATATGGATAATTCATGCCTATTTTGGGGATTTTGCAACCACACTCTAGGGATTTAGTCATCTTTCATATAAGGAAGCAATATCACGAAAGAAACAATATAGTCTTTTTATATAAGCAAAAACCGTTGGTCTAAAATTATCTGATTCCATCGAAGCACAGCTAGGTTTTTAAAACTCATTGACGGACATTTTAGGTCAAGAATGTATACAACATTCTTCTTAAATAAATTTACAAGGAGAACAGTTAGCCAATCAAGTTTTTTTGTTTTATTTTTCACTGCTTTTTTTTTGTTTTAAGCGTTTTGAATAAGAGTTTCCTCTTCAAATTGTTAACGCCGATTTTCTTTCTCTTTCTGTGAAAATGTTTCAGCCAAAAATGCTATGTAAAACAAATGAAAGTGCATTTACATAAAATAAGTAAAACACACACACACACACACACACACACACACAGACACAGAGACACACACCCAGACACACGCACACACGGACACACAGACACACACATAGACATACACATACACAAATGCTAATTTGTATGTAACATAATAATTTAGAATTATTCAGTGTGTTGCCAATTTGAATACTTGAATGCTTATTCTCTTTTCAAATTTCCTGTCAGCAAACAAAACTTCATGATGCGATCAAAAGTAGCCCGACTGAAGAGCTGATTTAAATCTTCCAACTCATGTACGAAGCACCTATTTTATGACGTCAGGAAAAATTAAAATGTTTAACTAGAATTTATCTCATAAAATAATCATTAAATATAAAATTAATTCATTCTAAATATCATTGAAATCGGATATTCCTCTGATGTTTGATAATTTTTAATCTAGTGTCGTTTTCTCAGTGCATACTCGATCATAAACAGATTTTTTTTGTATCTACGGATAAGCATATACAATGATAAAATATAAACTATACTTTTATTTACTTACAGCTAATAAATAAGTTGTAAATGAATGGACTTTCCTGGCCTGAATCACATACTAGATAGATAGATAGATAGATAGATAGATAGGCATGCGAATGAGATAGATAGATAGATAGATAGATAGATAGATAGATAGATAGATAACGAAAAGACTCAGTGTTATGGGACCTTACCCATAATAACATAATGGACTATTCCATACGTAATAAATACTGCGCCTCAAGAGGAAGCAGGGAGTCCAGTTCGAAGTCGGGCGACCGGATGACCGGCTGATCGGTTGAACTCTCTGCCTACGGGCGGGGAGGAACCCGAACGAGGCTACGCCGAAGGGCGGAGTCTCTTTCGGGAGTTAAACCGACCCAGAACCCGTTTATACGGGTTCAAAGGGCATAGTTTTGGCCGAGTCCACGGGCTCGGAGATGCCACGGTCTCGGAGATCCCACGGCCTCGGAGATCCCACGTTAAACCGGCCTTGTGCCACATGATGCCCTCGTGGTGGTGGGGGGGTGACTAAATACCGTTCAGTCTGAAGTCTGGAGTGAAGTCCGTTAGGAGTCTGTCAGTCAGTCAGAGCGAGCGAGTCAGTCAGTCGAGTCAGATGCAGTCCGAAACAGAGTCGCATTCAGACAATTACTGCAAGACATTGGAATAGTGATACTGGTTGAGACTACATTGTTCTCCCTACTAAACCTGATTGTTCGTACTAACACTTTATACTTCTCTGTATATATTCCTGTTTGTAATATATCTGTGTTATTCCGTAGCAGTGTTGGAGTTCTTCTTTATTGGTTCTACCTTGGACTATCACCTTGGTACAAGGAACCGGACCATAACACTCAGGTAGATAGATAAGGAACAGACTGGGGTAGATAGATAGATAGATAGTTATTTTTAGTATTTTTAGTATAGTTTCATTTTATTATTCTTGTTAAGTAAGTCTAAATTTTTGTTATTTCTGTAAATAGTTCTGGATTGTTCATGTTCAGACGTATGCTAGAATTTATTCCTTGTTGCGTTTCTTTAGGTTTCTTAATTGGTCTAAAGGTATTTTTTTCTGCTAGCCCAGAACCTTTGTTTATTAGTGGTGTGGGGTAACCTTGTTTTTTGAGAGTTTTATGTAATTATTTTAGCCGGGTTTTTCGGAGATGTTTGTCGGTCACTATAGTGCAAAAATTACGTGCTAGGGAATAGCGGATGGATTTCAGACAACTTTTCAGACAAATGAATATATTGTTGGGTGTCTGTAGGTTATCTGTCATAATGTAGTTATTTCTATTCCTGATGAGATTATCTAAGAATGGCAGTTCGTTGAAATTATGTTCATGAGAGAATTTGATCTCCAGGTGTAAGTTTTGGAGTAGATCGTGCAATTGGTTAATATCGCCTCATGAGGATTTCCAAAAGATGAAGCAATCATCTAAGTATCGCTTCCAAGATTTAGTGTAGTGGGTTTTTATATTTTCCCCATATATATGTTCTATCTTTTTATAGAGGTTTTTCTCTATTTAAGTTAATGTTAGAGTGGCGTATGTTGGTACCATTTTAGTTCCCATTGCGGTACCTAGGGTTTGGATAAAAAAAAATCGTTACCTCTTTTTCGAAAGTTAAATTGGCAGGGGTGGGAATATAAGGTCAGAATTAACTTTAAATTAATCGACAAAACATTGACAAAAATATTATATCAAAAAATTACAAAACTCTGCACAACACAATAAAATATGAACAAGAAAGACTTTCTAATAAACTTCATCAGCACATTTTATGGACTACCGAAATTTCGCAAATCGAGTGAAATAAAGGCAACTATTCAGACGCAGAAATCTGAATTTTTACATCCCAAACCTCAGTGACCTTCCGTTCAGAGCCATATTAGCAAGACCAGCAATGTCCAACTAGAAAACTCAGTAACATAATAGACACCATACTACAACCATTTAATAACAGGTTAAGAGCTACAACAGAGACGGTATCAACTTCCTTAATTCAGGAACACGCATGGCAACGTTTGACATTAGTAGCCTATGTAACAACAGACACCTGGTACACAGGCAATTTCATTCACTATTGAAAAAACACCCAGAAATACTACATCACAGATTCACTAAGGAATTCATTATCGATAGTATAGATCTAATTCTAAATAATAACACCTTTGAATTTGACAACAAAAACTATATCCAAACCCTAGGTATCTAGCCACCCCACCACGAGGGTTGCATGTGGCACAAGGCCGAGTTTTTACGTGGGTTTCCCGAGCCCGTAGGCTCGACCAAAAAATGCCCGTATAACTCGTATAAACGAGATCGGGTTGGTCATTTCTCCCCGAACGTGACTCTGCCCTTCGGCAGGAGCCTCGTCCGGGTTCCTTTCTGCTCAGAGGCAGAAAGTTCGACCGTCAAGTCGAGAAGCTCGGCATGATTCATTTTTTGATATAATATTTTTCTCAATGTTTTGTCGATTAATTTAAAGTTAATTCTGACCTTATGCTCCCCCCCCGCCAATTTAACTTTCGGAAAAGAGGTAACGATTATTTTTTTTTAAATTTCCCTAAAAATCATTTTTATCACAAGTTACCAACCATCGTTGTGGAAGTACAACCATACTATTGAAACATGAAAGAATTTGTGTAGCAATTTGAAATGTTTTTTTTTAATTATAATCTTATAATTTTATTATGATAAAGTTCTTCCATTGGATACACACGGACTACACTCTCTCGCAGACTGCCTTGTTGCTTCTCGAAACTTAGGGCAATCCTTGCTCATATCGACCAGAACAACATGAAGTACAAAAATACAACTATCAACATAAAACTAATATTAGTGGTTAATACTAAAATAGTCTACAACACCTAATGCAAGCAAAGGCTCAAAACTCTAAAAGCTATTATTATGCAAAATAAACAACCCACACTAAAAAAATATCATTCACTACGGAAGAAGTCATCCTGAAGTGCATATGATATATCTGATTTGTGCATATATATATATATATATATATATATATATATATATATATATATGACTCTTTCTTCGAATTCGACGTATAAGGGTCAAGCAGATCAGTTCCTAGGAACCGACACCAACACATGAGATTTGATTATAGTGATGAAGGTTTTGTGCAGATACTTTTTGAAGGGCTGAATACAGAGGTCTGGTGCATTATCTGCCACAAGGTCCCCAAACGACCCTCTGCAGGCTTTGAATTTTAGTTGTGCTTTTCCTAGACCAGTTGCCATCCAAGGCTATACAATCCAGTCTCTCCTGCTATTTGCACATATATATCGGTGATGATCGCAAAGGACGTGAAACCCAGGGTCACAAACTCACATCAACGCAACTAAATATGTTAGCTGCATCACTGATATTGAGCGTTATAAAATAGCATATATATATATATATATATATATATATATATATATATATATATATATATATATGAGCGGCCTGACGATTGCGTCTAGCATGATGAAACAGCCTGTCGCCTCTGAGTGTTGACTTCAATGTTCACTTTTATATTTACATACGCTCTATCTCTGATATTGAGGACTTTATCCCGTAAATATAGGCCACCTTAAAACTATATATATATATATATATATATATATATATATATATATATATATATATATATATATATATGTGTGTGTGTGTGTAAAAATATATAGAAAATAGGAAAGAAATCGTTAGGTAAATAATCCAAAGTTCTTTAGTATTTTTGTTATTATTTTTACAAAATAGTGCTAGATAGAAAAGTAGAGCATAAATATAATTATTTATTTAAAATATGATTCCAACGCTACTTATATAGCGTTGAATCATATTTTTAAATAAATAATTATATATATATATATATATATATATATTCTTTTTGTTGTGGTCTCGTTTTCAATAACCGTTACACATAATGACAATTTCAAACCTCCAGCTTTCCAAAGAATACCATGATATAAGCCACTGAATTCTCGCTAGCAAACAGACATCGCATTGGTTTGTGAAAATGTACTGAGATCCTCGAAAGGACTTGAACACAATAATAACACAATATTAATTTTGGACAGTTTATTCACAATTTCGAGCACTATACTCAACATATTATTAGAAAATTGGAATGTTTGATCAGAAAGAACCGACAAGGCTTGTCTTTTCGAATAATGGTGTTGCGTATGTACATGTGTGCATATTTCTTTTATTTTGTCTCCAAAAACGAAGTTGTTATCTGTTGAAAATATTTTACACTAAATCCAGTTTCTTGTTAAATATTTTCCCAGTCATTTGTCAATTCCAGTATAATTTCTACACACAATAACACTCCTATGCTTATGAAATATTTATCTGTAACAATGTGTCTATTCATGCGTGTATAATAATGAGAATACTGAGAAATAACATTTCAAAAGTAACAATTTAATTGAATTTCTTTTTTCTGACAATCTGAACATTTATCCCATCGGTTTCTTTCAGCTAGCATTTCGCGAAGGGGTGCTTATGTTGGACAAAAAAAAATATGAACTTTGGACAGTTTATCAACACTTTCGAGCACATTATTTGAAAATTGGAAAAAAATACAATAAAAAAATAAATGCTTTCTTTTCAAACGATTAATAAATGAATAACACAAAACGGTATATAAAATAAAAGACAACGGAAAACAAGTATAATAAGCTGCTCAAACACGTGTACTCAGTAAATATAATTTCTCAAAAGCAAAGGTATTCTAATTTTTAGACATTTTGTTAAATTTTGTAACGGGGTGCTTATGTTGGACAAAACAATATGAAGTTTGGACAGTTTATCTACAATTTCAGGCACAATACTCAATAATTATGACAATACTGCGAAATAAAACTTTAAAAAATAACAATTTAATCGAATTTATTTTCTGACAAGCTGAGTATATATTCTGTCTGTTTCTTTCAGCTAGCTTTTTTGAAACTTATGTTAGTATAAATTTATTATAAAAGTTTGTAAGGAAATTTCAAAATAATTAATGATCTTTACATATTCAACATTTGGAACCGAGGAAATTAATGTCGTCAGACAATGGAAAAATTGTTTCGACTCATATAACGAAAGCATAAGTTTGCATTACAATGGCTTTATTTATGTATATGCAATTGCCTTATTTGCCTCGTTGCAATTCAAGATGGTTGGCAATACACACAGATACTTAGTTACGATATGTA